GCTCTTCCCACATTCCAAGCACTTGTAGGGCTGTTTTCCCCTGTGGATCATCTGGTGGCGGATCAGGTTGCAATTGTGACTGAAATTCTTCCCACATTCCAAGCACCTGAAGGGTTTCTCCCTGCTGGGAGGCTGCTCAGGGACCACTAGGTCGGAGCTCTGGCTCAAGCTCCAGCCGCCTTCCTGGCACAGGCTGGGTGTTTCCTCCTGGGAGCACCCTGGGCTGGTTTTGGAGCCCCTCCTTGTTGGGTATCTCTGTGGCTTTTCCTCCCCAGTGACTTCCTGTGCCGTGGAGCCGTTCAAAACAGCCTCTCCCACCAGGCTCTGCCGGGGGGATTTGTCCTCCGTGCTTTCCGTCCTCAGCTCGGGGCCTGGGGCAGGAAGGAAGAAGGACAGGGAGGGGATTTGCCTCTGGTCCAGAGGGAAGGCCAGGGACATCCCCCCAACTCCAGCCCCGGCAGGACGGCGATGGCAGTGGGGCTGTCCTGCAGCCGGGGCCACGCTCAGCTGGGAGACGCAGAACAAGGCAAAGGGGCACTGACTTCCTCCTCACCTGCCTGGGTGTCCTGGGGCATCTTCCTCACAGCCTCCTCCTCCATCCAGCCAAGGTTTGGGAATCAGAAATCCTGTTTTGGTGGGAAAAAAACCAAAACAGGTTTTGGGTGTGAGCACATTGGGTTGGGGATTCCTCCTGGAATGGTATCCATAAAACCCTCCAAAGCATGAAGATTCAGCCCCAAAAAACCCTCCCAGGAGTTCCCCCTCTCTAGTCTCTCCACTTTGGGGTTCTGGGGGTCCCCCTGTCCAGGCTGCTCGTGGTGCCATGGGTATTGGGGGTCACCCTTCTCCGGGATCTCTGCCCCCTCCAGGCTGCCAGTGGCCTTGGGAATCCCAGGAGTGTCTCCTCTCCAGACTCCTCACTTTGGGGTCCTGGAGTTCCTCCCGCTCCATGGTCCTGCTTAGGGATGCCGGGGGCTTTGGGGGTCAAGGGGTCCATTCTCCCTTCGCTCTCTGATTCTGGGTGCTGGATTCCCAGGGGTTCCCCCTCTCCTGGGTCTCACCCTCTCTAGGCTGCTGGGGGTCCTCTCTCCAGGCTCCAGTTTCAGTATCCCAGAGGTCCCCTCCTCCAGAGTTTCTCCTCTCCTGGATGCCACATGTCCCAGCGTTCTCCTGTCTCTGTGCTCCCCCCCTCCCCAGGCTGCTGGGGCTCACCCAGCTCCAGTATCACCCCTCTCCACTCTCCCCACTCTGGGGGTCCCGGGGTTCCCCACCTGGGTCTGCTGGAGGTCCCCAAAACTAGTGGACCCCCCCTGAGATGGGACACATGGCTCCTGCCTGCTGGCACCTGCTGGGACTCCCACCAAAAAACCCTACCTGCTGGGGACCCCCCAGTATCTCCCCAAGGGGCATTTGCAGTTCATTCTGAAGTCTTTAAGCTGCAAACATCCCCTCCCCCCAAAAACCCAACATGGACCCCCCAAGATATCTGGGGCGAGCTCCCCCTCCCCAGTCATCTGTGGAATGCAGGTGGGGTGATGCTTCCAGGGTGGGAGGAACTGTGATGGTTGTTCCTCCTCTTCCTCTTCCTCCTTTTCCTGCTCCCCCACTTCCTCTATTCTTCCTCTTCCTCCTGCTCCTCCTCTTCCTGCTCCTCCTCCTCCATCCCTCCTCCTCCTTCTCCTCCCTAACTCCACCTCCTTCTCCTACCTCCACCCCTTCTCCCACTCCTTTCTGCATCCCTCCTCTTTCTCCCCCAGGCCCAGCACCCACCCTTGGCCCTCCCTTCCCCCCAAACCCATCACATCCTGCGGGAGGAGCAGCGACGGAGCTGGGGCAGGTCGGGATGGGGCAGCGCTGGGCTCTTGGCTGCTTCCACCCCCTGGGGGGGGATCCCAGGAAGGGCAAAAGAACAGGAAAAGGGGCAAAAGTGGTGGCTGGAGATAAAAATTTGGGGGTTATGGTCCCCCCGGGTGGGCACTTCCAGCCTTTTGGGCTCATCTCAGGAGCCTGGAGATCTTGGAGGGGGGAATGCAGAGATGGATGGGGGATCCCAAGGGATTTTGGGAACAGCATGAGGGGTTGTGGGAGCCCCTTGCTGGGGGGTTGGGCTGGAGACCCCCTGGTGCTCCTGGAGCCCTGGGCTGGGGAGCTGTCACCACCTTCTCCTGCCTGGGGGGCTCTGGGGGAACCTCGGCTCCTTGGGCTCTTCCTGCAGCCACAGAGGTTGGAGGGACCCTACTCGAGATGGGTCCTCCAGGTGTTCCAGGAGCTTTGGGCTCATCCTGGGAGTGACTGGGCTACACTGGGAGTGACTGGAAGGGACTGGGATAATACAGAGAGTGTCTGTAACCATAGTGGGAATGACTAGGACCACACTGGGAGCAACTGGGAGCAAGTAGGAGTGACTGGATCTATACTGAGGGCAACTGGGTGTGACTGGGTGTGGCAGGAGAGGCTACCCCTGATAAAACCTAAAATCCAATCAGAGAATGCACACAATGCAAGCCATCAGCTGCTGGTGCCACAGTGTTGCCTTGGTGTTAGTGTGCTAAAACCATCCTGGGTCACCAGACATTGAGTCAGATCAGCTGCATTCAATCACTTTATACTATACAAGTCCAGTCCCCTCTCATACAGTCAGGTTCTTCTGACATAACCCTCCCTGGGGTGTAGGTGTGGAGATTCCTCCCTTGGCTGGGGACACCTCCAAGGTCACTCCTGCAGGTTGAGAGCAGAGATCTCCCCAGAAGTGTTGGTCTGGGTGAGTTACATCCATCTCTAATTAATAATTATTTCCTTTTGCAGGCTTTAATATAATTGCTTCTGGCTGGGAGTCCCCCGGGAGTCCCCCCCC